ACAAGCATCTGATAAATACTATAAAAGTTCTAGACTAGTGCATCAGAACTTAAGTCTTACCAGGTCCAGCACAATCTCTTGATTAAAGCTGACATGAATTCTTAAAAACGCAACATTTTCATCTATGTACGACTTGTTTCATACCAACTATAGCCGTATTCCGCCATATTTCTTTCAGATACCTTGTCTCATTGTAACGATGTATACCCCAATGCGCTCGTTACACTTGAATGATTTTTTGGATTGGCTATCGACTCGTGCACATCTCCGATGGTAAAGCATATGAGAACACATGAGGTGATCAAGACATTTCAAAAACAAAATAAATAACATAATAATTATATTTTTGAATGATATTGATTTGAATCAAAAAAAAAATGCAAGTTTGGAAGAGAAATTTAGATGCATGAGTACGTATTTTTACAGTGCGCCAATTTATGCAGAATAAACTTGAAATAAAAAGCAGTAAAATTTGCAAACACATTTTGAAATTATATCATTTGAATGGAACAAAACAACCAACGTCTTTGATTTGCAGGTCCTAGGCAATTGATGCATATCGAGAAAACGCATCGAACGCTGTAAACGTACCCATACCTGGTAATAAGGTTACTGCATCGGTTTGAAGATGTGCACAAGTCAAGTGAAATACACCCTGAATTCCATTTATTGAAACATGCATCACAAAAAAGAAATAAACTCCATAAAAGCCAATAGTAAACACACTGTCATTACTCCGTACACACTAGCACGACGATACACTTAGTCCGTGCTGATCAGATTTTGGTCAGGGAAAATATCAAAAGTGGAAAGAGAAGTTATTTGGTATTTGCGCGGCTGAAGGGGGGGGGGGGGGGGGGGGGTTATTATAACTGATGTTCATAAGCTATAATTGTGAATTGTTTATCTCCATGTAGTTCTAATATACATTCTATACAAAGTCATGTATATATAGTCTGCAGTTGGTTTGCGTCGCAAAATTCATTTGTCAATTATAACTGATAATTTTAGTACTAATCTCAAATCTAAACAAAGTAATTTGATGTACGGCTATAATTTACTTCAAATATTAAAAGCAATTAACCAGAATACAAATTTTTATGTGTACATCTATACATTCTTTAACACATACACACACGGAGAAAGGCCATCCCCTGTTCAGATTGACATTTAGGCATTTGATTTTTTGGACGGGGGGGGCATACAAAAATAATTGGCATGACCGTTATTTAAATATTCTTGGAAGACAGACATTTCTGCCGAATTCAGTTTTGAGATTTTTTTAAAATGTGTCACTCCGACCACAAAGTATGTGCATTTTGAGGAATGTAACTGTTTTATAATTATGTTGTTACAGGAAATATTTCGAGATTTCAGTACCCCGGCCTGATAGTCTAGGTATTTTTTTTCTATATATAAATAATTTCTGTAGGTGAATTTGGGAGATAATTTTAAAAGCTAGGGTAGGGATACTTGACACTGGTTGAATACGGATAATTATTACTTATTCTTTTGTATATTGAACTCTCTCTCCCCCTCTCTCTCTGTCTTTCTGTCTGTAACTACCCGTTGGGGCAATGATGGGTATAAAATCCTACGCACTTTGTGCTGTATCATTTATTATGCCTTAGGACAGACCAAGGATTTTTTTCAGGAGGGATGTCGAAACTTCATAAATTGAATAATAATTTTACTTTGGACAGGAAATTAACCCAAACGCCCAAATTGAAAGAGAAACTAGACGTACATGTATTATGAGCAATGAACTCACTAAATGATACCCCCTGCCTCCCATATGGTTATAATGGCAAAGTCCATACTTCGCTAAACCCATACGTGTCAGATCAAAAAGTAAAATAGGAGATGCATAATGGTAATATGTAATATTAAACTTAAGATTCTTTGAAAGTTTCATTAAATTACTCTAAGTGGTGTAAGAGGATTTGCAGATAAGAGATGGGTACTCCAAAGCGTAACAGACAGACGAACGGACATAATGATTACCCCCCACTTTTCAGGCTGGGGATATAATAAACGTGAAATATAAATCACAGGAATGGGAACATTGGGAACTTTCTGGAATACTTTCTCAAACGTATGTGTCGAGCTTGGACAATAGACAAGAGAATTTTTAAAAAGCTATAGTTTTAGGTAGAATGTGGAATTCTCACGAGGAGTTTACTCACTCTTCCTATATGCTTTTTTCTCATAATCATTAATTATTTATGTCTAGAAATTTAATTCACATCAAATTCTATTATCATTATCATTGTACCAAAGAATCAAACTCGTTTAGTATACCCCACGCGTGAGGTATAATGTTTTTGACCCGTCAGTCAGTCCTTTTTTTTTTTTTTTGGTCAGCGCAACTTCTCATAAACCACTGCACAGAGTTTTGACTTTGCAGATATTCATATGAGACAATGTGTGTGTAGATTTGCACATCACCAGAAAATTCCGAATTCTTTATTTTTCCGGGAATTTCCGCACTTTTACATTTAGATTTTGGCCATATCTTGAATATAGAGGTGAGCAATTTGTTAGCGCAACTCCTCATAAACCGCTGCACACACTGATTTTCGTCAAACTTTGCAGATATTTAGGACACAATGTGTATAGATGTGCATATTACAAGGAAATTACGATTCCTTAATTTTTTTCTTGGAATGTTTAGCACTTCGACTTTTGGGGGAGCGTGGGGTATGTGAACATGTTCAATTTTTCTTTCATAGTGCATAAAATTATAAATAACTTTAAATTAAATTATATTAGGTCTAATAAAGCCAATACATAGTATTTATTTGATAATAATTGATCATTAAGAAATCCAATCTGTTTCAGACGTTTTTCTTACATTATTTTTATGAGAGTGTTATGCATGTTTTATCCCCCCCCTTATATCACGGGAAAATATCTTCAAAAGGTGAATGATACATAATAATGCCTGCTTTTTTTTTTTAATGAATTTGATGAAGTTAAACCATGTACTTAATCGTAAATTTTATTTACAACATGTACAGACAAGAGTAATGTTTATTTTTGAAAAAATTACTTGCATTTTTTTTTTCAATCAACCCCACTGAGCTTTCAACCTTTGATATTTTCCCTGACCAAATAAAATGATCGGCATGGGCCACGTGTGTCCAAGCATCTTTTACTGTTGAGTTAGGAATGGATTACATGACTTCTGAGATGCATTTTTCAATAAAAGTAAAATAGGATAATTCTTCGACATGTGCACATCCCTTTAGCGATAGCAGTAGTCAGGTAAATGTTTTTATCACTGCGTTTGACGCGTTTTCTCGACCTGCATAGGTGTTTGATGTACATGTATGTATTCCGTGTTAGTTTATTTTTTATATTGCAGCAAATGCATTCAAAAATAATTTAATTCTCGGTATAGTTCTATTTTTTGTCGAATTTTTACTTTTCAAACATGCATTTGGTCAGTTTATGGATTTCTAAAAACTTTGTTATCGGAGATGTGTACATGTCGACAGTCAGGCTAGAAAATCACTCAAGTGAAGCAATCGTACAAGGCTATATATAGCAGGTACAGGTGACCAAAATTTTCCGATTAAATATGGCGGAATCGAAGAAATATGGCGGACAAAGGCGTACAGGAATGTAGTAAGTCGTACAAAGATGAAAAATGATGCCTTTTTAAGAGTTCATGTCAGCTTTAAGCTATATAGCTTTAAAAATCTATATAGCTTTATTAAGCTATTCAAAATAGCTTGATAAAGCTATTTATATGCAATTTTTCACAAAAACGTTTTTTGAAAGAAATAAACAAAAAGTCGCAAATATTTGACTATTCATATATGTACTATGGACTATCAAAAATGCACCCTGAATCATAGAAAGTTCTAACATTGCTGCTGTTGAATACTTTTAAGCAAAATATGAATTTCCATTGTTTGAATAACTGTTTGTGCGGTGAGGCGTGGGTAAGTATGATTGCTTCTCATTGTGCTGAACTGTTACTAATCAATTATCCTGTTGGCCATAACTGGCCTCCTTTATAATTTCATTCAAGAAATAACTGTGTGGTCACTCATCAATAGCCCCAAAACTTTTAAAACTTTGAGTACAAAGTCTCTCAAGGAGACGCAATTTGGTGAGTGATTTTTACATGCATTGTATTCAGAAGAGTACAAAGTTTAATATTTCCACTGCACTAAGGTGTGACTTTTTGCACATGTTGAAAAAATAACACATTTGAGAAAAAAGTCTGACAAAATAGCTTAATCAAGCTATTCTGAATAGCTTAATAAAGCTATATAGCTAAATCAAGCTATATAGCTTTATCAAGAGATTGTGCTGGACCTGATTTCTGTAAAATTACAAAGACTCTATTTACAAAATTTACTTAAATGTTTGCTTCAAGTATATAAAGAAAAAAAACCCATCTGTTATATTATTGTAAAACTTTGACAAAAGTCCTCACCTGTTGGATTACTCATGTTCTAATTTACATCCATTTGCAGTTTTACTTACAATACGTACAAAAAACACATATTCTAACAAGAAGAAATTAATTAATTGTGACATCGATTAGCGTAAGATTAAGAACAATTTTGATTTTCTTGTATAAGTCAGGAAATGAACAAAAGTCAACATCAGTAAAAACACATCCTGGTTCAGTGATAATTAAACCCGATGCATGTTCTTCATCAATGCTGATTCGTAAAAATACTGTTACATTTACAGAAAAAACTAAAATCATTCAGAAATAGCGAAGAATCGAAGGTATTTACCTTTCATACTCATCCTTCGGAACTACTCAAGTCTTCAATAATCCGCCATCTTGAATTTTTCCTGAAGAAAATCTCTAAGCAAAAGCACAAATTCCAAATTTCAATGTAGAAAATAGGAGCCTAATTCACAAGTCTAGATCACAATATTCTAGAAAATATAAATAATTCACAAGATTATTTCTAACTTAGTCAATTTGCGCTTTAGCGCAAAAAAGAACATATTATTCGTTCCGGAAAACGGTTGACCTAAAAATATCAACAAAGAAGGTGAAGGTCATCGATTAAAAATGGCAGCTGTGGAAGATGATATTCCACAGAGAGAGGTTTCCCTGCCGCGAGAGGAGTCCCCCACCTCCCCCACCGTCCTGCCGTGGGACAAGTTCTCAAACTGGATTCATTGTGCGTGTGTTGTCACGTTCGATTTGGAGCTGGGACAGGCGATGGAGGTAAAATAGACCATCAGCTGATTATCTTTGTTGACATTCTTTTTATTTTTAAAACACATCAAATGGGTATTGCCTACTAATCGGACTTGTGTTTATGTAACAGTTTATTGATAAAATCATTAAAAATTAAAAGTATATATGTAAAAACATATATTTTATGATTGCAGAGTAATTCCTGAAATATTTAAAAAATAAAAATATTCAGGAGGCCTAGTTACTAGTTAGAATTTATAAACCAAAAGACAAGAGACCTGACCATAACTAACTCATTAAAACCTCAGTTTAGATCTATAAGTTTCTACCTTGCATTAAGATTTTGACTCTCATTGTTAAAGGAAATCATGTATTTATTTTGAACAGTGATTCTTTGTTACATAATCATTGCAGTTGTATGTACTAATTGATAATGTTAATATCCCATTTCAGTTGATTTATCCTGGTCACGTGAAGCTGACAGACGTAGAGGTAATCCTATCTATCAGCTCCTTAGAACAATATTTCACTGTTATCCTTTGACTTTCAGTAAGGAGTGGTATTCTTGAGTCTCGACGCTATATATTCTTAGCCTCTGAAATTTACAGTCTTTCATTCACAGTGACTGTTGAAATATACATGGGATAGAAATTTCAACAAAAAGCAAGATCTAATGATAATGTTTCTTGTGGCAAAGAGGTGTGTATTAAGTTACAAGTCTTACCATTGTCAACAACAATTTAAAGTTGCAAATGTTAATTATTATTATTTTCTTAGGCAATTAGAATCTATTTGCCATTTGACAGATGCTAATAACGTAGGGTAAAGAATGCCTCACCTTAAGTAACTGAAAGTCCAAGGATGACAGAGAATTGTACTACAACCGGTAGTTTTGTTATTTCAAAAAATACATGTATAGTCCAATTTTGACTTTTTTGTCCATCAAACAGTCTTCTGTGCTTTCAAAGAATTCCTTGAGGAAACTTAATGCAATTAAAATTAAAAGATAATATTTCACTATAATTCTTTCATGACAGAAGATTAAAGATATTATAATTATTTTAGAACAATATTGATTTAATAATTATATCTAACCATATGTGTCAAGTGTTGTAATTATTCATGAATATTTCATTTTTAATATAATAGATATTTTTTCTCCTTTTTTACAGAAAACAAATATCTGTTACCTGTCCTTTCCTGATTCAAATTCAGGTACACTAGCAACAATAATTCCCATGATTACTGGCTATATTATGAATGCTTAAAGTGATAAGGGTTCTAATGCAGAAAAAATACATTGTATTATAATAGATGACTGTATTATATGTAAAATAATATATGATATTTATCATCTAATTTATTAGAATACTAAATTAGTAAATTGTATTTTGTATTATATGCCACAGTGTTTTATGTATCTGACAGGGTGTATGGGGGACACACAGTTCCACTGTTGTATAATAATGTCACAAGGTACTATATATCTGACAGGGTGTATGGGGGACACACAATTCCACTGTTGTATAATAATGTCACAATGTTTTATGTATCTGACAGGATGTATGGGGGACACACAGTTCCACTGTTGTATAATAATGTCACAATGTTCTATGTATCTGACAGGGTGTATGGGGGACACACAGTTCCACTGTTGTATAATAATGTCACAATGTTCTATGTATCTGACAGGGTGTATGGGGGACACACAGTTCCACTGTTGTATAATAATGTCTCAATGTTTTATATATCTGACAGGGTGTATGGGGAACACACAGTTCCACTGTTGTATAATAATGTCACAATGTTTTATGTATCTGACAGGGTGTATGGGGGACACACAGTTCCATTGTTGTATAATAATGTCACAATGTTCTATATATCTGACAGGGTGTATGGGGGACACACAGTTCCACTGTTGTATAATAATGTCACAATGTTCTATATATATGACAGGGTGTATGGGGGACACACAGTTCCACTGTTGTATAATAATGTCACAATGTTCTATATATATGACAGGGTGTATGGGGGACACACAGTTCCACTGTTGTATAATAATGCCACAATGTTCTATATATATGACAGGGTGTATGGGGGACACACAGTTCCACTGTTGTATAATAATGTCACAATGTTTTATGTATCTGACAGGGTGTATGGGGGACACACAGTTCCACTTTAGGATCAGACAGAGCCCTGGGAGAAGACAGTTACCCAAGTCAAAGTTCCACAAGGACTACCCCCACCAGCTACAGGTAGGACCCCTCCCCCACACCACCCTATCCTAACCCCACCAAACAAATACAGGTAGAACCCCCTCCCCCACACCACCCTATCCCCACCCCCTCTAACAAATACAGGTAGGACCCCTCCCCCACACCACCCTATCCTAACCCCACCAACCAAATACAGGTAGGACCCCCTCCCCCACACCACCCTATCCCAACCCCACCAAACAAATACAGGTAGGACCCCCTCCCCCACACCACCCTATCCTAACCCCACCCAACAAATACAGGTAGGACCCCCACCCCCACACCACCCTATCCTAACCCCATCCATCAGCTACAGGTAGGACCCCCTCCCTCACACCACCCTATCCCAACCCCACCCAACAAATACAGGTAGGGTCTACCTTATGGGTCCATGCGTTTTTCAGAGAGGATTTCTAATGAAGTATATAATTGCAAAGAGGGGTCTGGAATATAAAAAAAAACTTTATTGACTTGCAGAGATAATGACTTAAGGGCTTTAAATTTTTTATTTCTAAAATACCTATGTGTTTCAAACTTCATAACTGTAAGCATAATATGTCAAAATTAAATTTCTTGCAGTAGTTCTATGGATATTATGCATGAACTTATATAATACAATTTAAAGAAACCAAATATCAGATGAATGTATCTACCATTTAAAGATAATCTTAGGACTTCCTACATGTATTTAAAGTAGCATGACAGAGATTCAGTATTGCTGAATTGCTGATTAAGTTCACAAGTAATCGAGAAAAAATATTTCAGACTACATTGTCCTTTATGTCGTTCTGCAAAACTTTTAAGTAAATATATGCTGTGAAGTAAATATAAAAATAGAATGATAGACTGTAGATTTTGTGTATTTCAGACAGACAATGGATACCTTTATGGTTTTGTGTATTTTCGCCAAACCAAGGACAAAAGTATAAAGAGAGGTTATTTCCAGAAGGTGAGTGGTTCATAATCATGTCAAATCAAGTGTTACTTATCATATAAACAAAGAAAGGGGTTGAGGACACAAGTAAGTAAGAGACATGAATTGACCTGTAATTATATACCTTGTAAAAAAAGCCATTTCATTATGTTGCATTTCCAACACGTAAATGTGTGTTATGTAATGCTTCCTTCATTCTGTGGTTTTGATGTTTTTCATTCCTGATGACATTTATTCTGTGATCCGTCACTGATAACATGTACTTCTTCTCTCGTTTCAGTCCGTGGTGCTGGTTTCTAGGCTTCCCTTCGTGGCCTTGTTTAATCAGTTAGTCAGTATTATTGCTCCAGAGTACTTTGATAATGGAGAGCCCAGTCTAGAAGCAGGTAATTTTATACATCTGTAGATCATAATTACTTTGAATTACTTACCTAATGAGTGTCAGAATATTCTGGACATTCATGTGGCCATAAATTACAATATGCATACAAAATGAGTGGCACACCTTGTGAGTTTTTTCATGTTTCAAAATAAAAATGTGAAATACAGAGACATCTGTTTCAAACCCTACACCAGAAGTGTGGACACCTAGGATTTGTACATAAAAGTAAATAAGTGTTTTTTATTTTTCTGTACCATTTTAAATTTTTACTAGAACAATTTTTCAGAGCAAGTCCTCCACTGATACAATTTAGTACGGAAGCCTTCATCTATGACATCCCATAGATATTTAAATATCCATCAATGAAATCAGTACATGTATTTATTTTTAGCCTGTCATGACGTAGATCAGTGGCCCTGTCCACTAGGGGGAGACACAGTCAGTCTGCCGATATTTGGGAATGTTTTACAGGTACGTTTTATTCAACATTATCATCTGCTTCAAAGGGAATGCACACCAAAGGTTAGTCAACTTTTGAACTTCATTCACACATTTCTCACATGAATTATTTATGTATTTGAAAGCAAGGAAATAAGGCACTATTCCTCATACTTTGGGGCACTTGTTTTCCCAGAAAGAAAGGACACTCAAGTATCATCAGAGTTCTTGAAATCTTTTTTCAACTGTCAGTCATTTGGACTGACTGCCACAGGAAGTTTGTCGGTCCAGACAGATTTTTATCAGTCCAACAAAATAATTAAACATAATTTCAAGAAGATTAAAACTGTATTTGAATTTTATTATCATTACATTTCGCACCCTCCGTCATATACACACTGCATACTTCATGCGAATTAAATCATCGTATAACAAATTTCGTTGAATTCTCGGGGGAGGTCAATTTTCTTCATAAGTTTTTAATCTACTTCGATTTTTCTCACCTGGCTAATACCTTATCGTTTTCAAAAACTTGTTAAAACAATTAATAAATCAGTTTGGTACTTGCGTTCATCGAAGAAGCCATTACGAGATACTGAAAAGTGTTTAACAGATTATGATTGGTCGGTTATAGGGAATTCGTACGAAATTTAGTCGGATTTTCGCAAGTTGCTTTCTCAACATCTACCGGTCATTTGGACTGACACAGAACGTAAAGTGATCGGTCCTTGGTTGTTTTTATCGGTCTTGCCGACAGAACCGAAAGATTTCAAGAACTCTGATCATGAGAAATTGTGCCTTTTAATATCTCATGCACAAATCTACAAAAGTTACACATTGCATCTCTTATATTTGGAAATTAATGTTAACATACATTGAGAATTTTCAAATAGATTTTAGGATTATTCCCTTTTCGATTTTTGTTGTTGTTGGTTTTGTTTTAGTAAAAATGAAAGTTACTGTACAATATTTCATTTAAAATGTAAAATTTAGTTGCATTTCTGCACAAATTTTCTTTTAAGTACTCTCAATTTATTGCCCCATTGTTTTACTGTTGTCAGTTTCTGTGTTGTATACTTCGATGTAGTCAGTTTTTATTATTGTGTACATAGGTCCGGATCCCCTCGCGGACAGATAAACTCCTGGACAGAGTTCCAGTGAAAACCACCGCATCTGTAAGTCTGTCCCCACTACTGTCAGCTGTGTTGTAATCTCTGTGTGGTTTTTTGTTGTTACTCAAATGATTATAGAAACATCGTATATTTTATTATTTATACACTATTTAATTTAAAATCACATTTTTTTTTATTACCATAATTCTTTTTTTGAATTCATTTCATTTTCATCACATTTGTAATTGTAAGAACTGTTTTCTTGCTTTTGGTTTGAAAATTTCTTTTTTTTTGGGGGGGGGGTTTCTTTCTATTTTCCAGGTTCTAACCTTAAATGCTAAATGCTTATGGAACTTGAGAATTATGAATAAATTAATTTTATGTTTCAGCCTGTCTTACCAGCACCCACCATCTTGCCATCTCTGTATGAAATTGACATTTTCAGGTAAAGCTTGCAAGGAAAAAAGAAAATCCCTTTTACTTTGCAAAAGTATTCTGGAACTGAAATATAATAATCATAGTCAAATTAAAAATATATATTGATCTTCAAGAAACAAGATAGAATTTTGTGTTTTAAGAACTCCTCAGGCACATATATTAGCTACAAGTTTACAATTATTTCTGACATGTCTACTTTTACTTTCAGTTCCTTCCAGACCATACTTCCACATATACAGATGTTATGGGAGCTAGTTCTTTCAGGAGAAGTAAGGGATCAATTAAGTCATTTATATATTATACTTACACACAATATCAGTGAAATTAAAGGGGCACCTAACCTGTCTCCATTTTATTTCAGCCTTTGGTTGTCATGGCAGCTTCACCTTCTGTGACCTCAGCAGCTGTCCAAGCCTTGGTCAGGTCAGTTACAAAGACAGAGGTCAAGGTCATGACTAAAAATACCATGACAGAGAGAGACTAGATATTCAGACTTTATTGATCAGCTGTTATACAGTGTATTTTACTTTCAGTTTAATTGGTCCACAGAAGTATTGTTGTGATTACAGACCCTACTTCACGATTCACGACAGCGAATTCAAAGAGTACACAACAAAAACTCAGGCCCCGTAAGTCTGTATTTAATAACCCTGTATTTTTATAAATATCAGAAGAAAAATGTTTAAGTGCAGTGTTCTTGTATTCTTAAATGATAAATAGCAGCAAGCTGCAAAATTTATAAGTGGAATAATATTATATTTCATAATAGAATTAGGAATTCATAACTAAATGTGCTATATTGATTTTTTTAATAAAATATTTGTCAGTGTCATGTAATAATTTTTTTGAAGATTTGTAGTCTTTTCTGTATTTCAGGCCTTCTGTTATACTAGGTGTCACCAATCCATTCTTCGCCAAAACACTGCAGCACTGGCCTCACATTATAAGGATAGGAGAAATGATGACTCAAGGTACAGTGTGTAAATATCTTGGGGGGGAAACCTGGATCCACCAGAAAATCTATATACATTATCAAATTAATTGCTAGATCCACTCTCACAGCTACTTGCCTGCATTCACTTATCAAGTTATACCATGCAACTGTGAAGTCACTGATTTTCAGGAGGGGTGTTAATTTTTGTTGTTTTTAGCTCTACTGGTCAGAGACCAGAAGAGCTTATGCGATAGTAATGCATCCGGCGTCCGTCCGTCTGTCCGTCTGTCTAGCTGTCTGTCTGTCTGTCCGTCTGTCTGTAAACAATTTTTCAAAATGCTACTCCTCCTACAGTTTTGGTCTGATTTCAATATAACTTGGCACACAAGTAGACTACACTAAGATACATAAAATAGTGCATCGGTTTTTGATTTCGATGAACGGTGGTGCCATGGTTACTAAAAATAGAATTTTATGTGAAATTCCTTTAAAACGCTACTCCTTTTACAGTTTTGGTGTGATTTTAATTTTACTTGACACACAAGTAGACTACACTAAGATACAAAAAATAGTGCATCGGTTTTTTATTTCGATGAACGGTGTTGCCATGGTTACTAAAAATAGAATTTTATGTGAAATTCCTTTAAAACGCTACTCCTTCTACAGATCTGGTCTGATTTCAGTATAACTTGGCACACAAGTAGAACTACACTAAGATACATAAATTAGTGCATCGGTTTTGGATTTCGATGAACCGTGTTGCCAGGGTTACTAGACATATAAATTTCTGTAAAATTTCATTAAAACTCTACTCCTCCTACAGTTTTGGTCTGATTTCAATATAACTTGGCACACAAGCAGACTACACTAAGATACATAGAATAGTGCATCAGTTTTTAATTTCGATGAACGGTGTTGCCATGGTTACTAAAAATAGAATTTTCTGTGAAATTCCTTTAAAACGCTACTCCTTCTACAGTTTTGATCTGATTTCAATATAACTTAGTACACAAGTAGACTACACTAAGATACATAAAATAGTGCATTGGTTTTTGATTTCGACGAACGGTGTTGCTATGGTTACTAAAAATAGAAATGTCTGTGAAATTCCTTTAACAAGATACTCCCTCTACAGTTTTGGTCTTATGGCAATGGTTTCTTTTCTCATTCTTTGTTATAAGTACAAACCAGTAGAGCTACAGTCTCGAGAGAGACTTCTGTTTTTTTGGGGGGGGGAGGTATGGAAAGACCCACAAATTCAGGACCACCATGAAATGTAAAATTTCGTATGCAATAGTACTAAACATTCCCCAGCCACAAAATCAAATACCAGCAAAGTAATTTTTTCTTTAAACCTGGAAAATTTGACCCCACAACAAGAGGCTTATGGGTCACATCGCTCACCTGAGCACATTGGCTAGGAATAAAGCAAAAATCAGTTCAGTATTGAAGAGTTTACATGGAATGAAAAGGGGTTATTGAAATAGTTATTGAAAAGAGAAGAAGTTTATCATGATTAGGAACATTATTATAACAGGGACATTTTTGTGGTTGAAGTATACAATATTCAAAAGAGGTTTGTGGAAAATTTAATCTCAAATGATTTAGCACACAACCTGTAGTATTCCTGGACATATATCTGATAGGTACATAATATCAGCAAATTAAGCTTTACAGATGCCACATATCAGACTGAGAGTAGTCTACATCAAGGCAGACCTTGGGAAAATATCAAACACAATTTGATATTCAGCTTTGACAAAACGTGGAATACAGCTACCAATATGTATGAACAATCTTCATGTGAATGCAAACTTGATTGAACTACCCTTATAATGCTAAACCATACCAAGCTATACAATACAGAAACATCAGTGCAGGTATTTGATTTTCATCACTTGTCTTTTCATCGGATAAGCAAGAAACAGATTGTCATTTGTATCTGTACACAGTCCCCACGGTGAGATCACTCCACAGTTTATGTAACGGAGGAACTGTCCATCCTGGTCTATGATGTGGAGACAGTTATTGATTTGATCAGTTGTAAGGATGTGACCCTGACTGTCTGTGGTGATTCCTCCTGGATTGAATGGTTCATTGTTTGGAGTAGGATCATGTCCAGTGTACCTGAATCTGAGTTTCCCGGCCTGATTGACCACCACTACCTCTCCAATTCTACTCTCAGACACACAGATATCCAGATTCCTGTTCTCCGCTAGATATCTGTCATGAAGACCAGTCGAATAGAGAGGTTTACCTTTATCATCAAACTGAATGGTTTGTTTCTCTGTGGATCCAGAGTAACGGGCAACTTTTGATTGTTTGCTATCATCACTGTGCATGATAACCAGGAGGTCACCAGAGGAGGTACTACAGACACCTTGAGGTCTCCAGTTCTGTAGTCTGATCACCTCCTCTATCTCCTCATTCTTCACAATGTTCACAGTTCTATCACCATTATCAGTATAAACTAGATCTCCACTTGGTGTCACTGCTATGTCATATGGTGGTTTTCCTGACTTGGTTGTAATTGACTTGAGTAGTGATCCCTGATTGATGCTGTAGAGTTTCATGACATCGTCATTTCCTCTTGTCCAGATTTCTTCATCACTCAGACAGGCCACATGTGCAAGGTATTCTTTATACCCAGTGTCTATGGTGGTGACAGTCTCTGGTTCATCAAGCAGTTGTTTGACTGGAGGAGAGGATCCAGCTTCTTTTAAAGTCATGCCTCCTGGGGGTAGGGTGGGGCTACAAAATAACAAAGGAGAAATCTGTTAAAGAACAGAATGACAAAATTTACTTAGGTGAGCGATGTGGCCCATAGGCCTCATGTCTTGTGATCAGTTAATATGGATAGTGTAATTTTTCCTTATTTTGAAAAACCAAAAAACTGCTGTGAAAATCATTTAATAATTGAAAAAGTTAAATATCCTGCAACAAACACCTACATGTATTTGTGTAGTGTATGTAAGTATACATAAACAGGACAAGCCACTGAGAAAGAAATTTAGGACATAGAACTAGAAATGCTTACAAAAAAAAAGTGAATTTTCATTCCAATCATGAAAAAAATATACTGATTTGCTGTCATTTTAAAAAATTGGAAAATATTCTTAAGGAATATCCTACCTGATTTATAGGAGACAGTAATGGCATCCACCATTTTCTGTTTAAACAGGTCATGTGACTTACTTAGATCATGTGACTACATTCAGTTATCTCCCTGTCAGTTGCTTTATACTACCTGGTTTAAAATCTAGGTCATATTTAAAAATAGCAGCATTTAAATTTTTCTTCGATTTAGTTACTGAAGCACGAAAACTTACAACACATAGAGTGAAAATACATTTGAAACTTTATACAAGGAGCAAGCCATACAGCTCTTAATTGGACCAAGAGGAATTAATCTCATTTTTGATGATTTTGAGTTGAGTGAATTAAGTTTGTAAAGAAAAAAAATGTTCTGATTAGTACTTTTAAGCCCATAAGAAAATCAAAGTTCATATTTATTATGTTGAACATATTTTAGAAATTGTACTTTAAAATTTTACATCAGTATTTTAATGAAAGTGTTGTGAAAAAGTTATTTGCACCATGAATTCTTTGTTCACAATGTTCTTAAGACTATATTAAAGGAAATATCATTGTAGATTTATATATACACGGTAGTATATACCTTTCAACAGTTACTGAGAAATACTCTTGTGATTTTGGATTATGTTCTGGTACATATACATACATAATCCATTTTTTCTTCTTAACTTTTTATTTCCAAATTTCTTCAATAGACTACAAATTATAACACTTTTTGGGATGATTTACTAAAAAGTTTTATGCAGAAATATCAGTTAATTTTCCCAGCAAACACACATATATTTTAAAATATTAGTTGATTACATATTGTATGTTTAGAATCTGTGCGAAGCTTTTAAGTATGTAAGAGACCATTCCTTAGCCATTGTATGCTATATGCACATCACAGATTTTTAAGTATGCTATATCCTTAAAGTGTCATTAATCACGTGTATCTTATATCTATGTGATAACCTGGTCACATTTCCTACAAATCAATGCTTAACCCCCATCACAGCTGATTTCTGTTTTGTGTCAATTTGTTACAGTGCCTAAAGGATTTAATAAATTAAAGAAAGTCAGCAGCATGAAGACACTAGATGCCAAACCAGGTACAAACACTGACAATTTTAATCTAGATCTGCAGGAAAACCCTGACCGTTTTAATCTAGATCTGCACTTAGCAGGTAGAGACAAACAGTGACAATTTTGGAAATACCTACATTTAAAAATAAAGCCAGAATGCAAGCTCTCACATTTGTAAAACAACTACCGTTAATTCACAACAGACATCAACTTTTATAAGAGTTTGGTTTTCGATCTAGTTCTGCAGTAATCATTAAATTCCCACTTTATTTTATAATCTTGATTTCCAGAATGTTGTATATAAATAAAGAAAACAAATAATGTAGAGGAGCATATGATAAAGTCATAAAATAAAATTTAATGCATTTTATATAGCCTCAGACTCAATGTAAGTGATAATCTAATAATGCATTTGAATTGAAAGTCAAGAAATTCAATATTGATATTATATGTGCAATATAATATGTTAAGAAAGTAAGTGTATTACAATAGTTTATCGTATATAATTACATAAATAATTATATATTTTCTGTGTAGTTGTATATTAATCTTTTCTTTGAATATATCTACTGTAACTTTATCTCTCCTGTTAAATATTAGATGAAATATTTCTTACTGAGTAATTTTAAGTTGTTACTAGATGATAATCCAGAAGTTCACATGATATGAATTTATTTGACGCAGGTGTTTATACTCGGTACAAGCCGTTTCTAGCCAAAGACAAAGGAATCCTTAAACGAATTATCAAGGTAAACTAATATAGATTACAAAGCAATTAGAGTCTCTTGAGAACGTTAAAAGTTAATTGTCATTTTTAATTCCAGTGGTTAAAAATGTAGGAAAAGAATGTAGGAGATAATTGTGTTACCTCATCTATACATGTATTGGCAGATAATATACAATGTATGTATAACTATAATGTGATCTTTGTTTATACCATTCGATCATTATTCACCGGGCATGCAGGCCAAGCGACCGGTGGAGGCCCAGAATGCAATTCTTCGACGCTACTTCCTGGAACTGACTCAGAGCTTCATGATACCCCTGGTAATTAAACACTTAATTAATATGTATTACGGTATGACCATTAGGGCAAGCGCATGATCAGCCACTTTCAAGCTTACGGAGACAGCCGAGTGTCTGGTTGAAACTTTAGACCTAGTGCAATTTTGGTCAAAAAACACTGCAGAGTTATTTTTTGTTTCTTTGAAAAATTTCTACAATATGAACGCCTTTTATGCTTTACGTTATTATTTATTTGCACAAAGGACATTGGGTAGTAAAGGAATTCTGGGAATGTTTCACAGAGAAATTTGCCTGACGTATGTACAGATTTCATTCCAAATTTCCTCTGTTCTTACATGTTAGTCTATTGAGCTCGCTTTGTAAGAGTCGCTTCCCAAAGCTCGCTATAAAGCAAGTGGAATGATGATTGACAAGATGTTACACAGGAATAAGGTATAAGGTTGACAAATAGAGTGATGGCTGAAAGATGCATTAATGTTACCTGAGATTTAAATGAATTTTTTTTGTTTGCAGGAACGTTATATGGGAGGTTTAAAGCCTCTACAAAGAAATATTTCTCCACACAAGGTACTTCACACTTATAATTTTAATATCCTTGCTAAATATGAAAATTATTAATAAAAATGTCAAAATTCTGATTTAAAAAAAAAAGACAGTACATAACATTGCATTAACTTTGAAATTTAACTTTGACCATCCCAGTGCCCTCCGAGTCTACGCCCGTTTGACACTGACGAGTTTCTGAAGACCCTGGAGCGGTCGGGGCCCCAGCTGACATCCGGGATAAAGGGGGACTGGGAGGGGCTGTACAGGAGGTTCTTTAGGAGTCCAAACTTTGAGGGGTGGTACCAGCACCGGCAGACAGAGGTCAACCAGAAACTACAAGTTCTCCACATGGAGGCTCTGTGTAGTGCTGTAAGTTCCCATTACCATTAAAATCTGTTCTTTACTTTATCTTTTAAATGCTTAAGTTTTTACATAATTTGCTAAGTGCCTGACAATGTACCTAAATTAATCGACAGAACTTACTGGTATGATTTTAGGACTTTTAAATAGCACATGAAAATATAAGAAACTTATTGATAAACTGGATTGTAGACAGTATAAATAGATTAATATAGATTTTGATGATTCTGTGGAGTAGTTTGGAGATTTGACTTTGGATAATGTAATCAGTGTGATTGTTTGTAACTTTAAAAGGGAATGATGGAGTAAGAAATGTTATAAAACTAGGAGACT